GAACTACTCGCCACATGCTGTTGCTGCTCTATTTGTTGTGAAGACGTCTCACGCCTCACCGTCTCCTCACGGTAACGCCGGAGCGATTCTTGCAGCTCGCCATCTTTACGCAGAAGTGCTTCATGTAGTTTCATAATTTCCCCTCGTTTTTGGGCCAATTCTTCACGAAGCGCCGTTGTGGTGGAGACAAGTTGTCGTTGAACCTGATTCTTCTCCTTTTGAAGCTGCGCATTGTCCTCCTCAAGATCCGTAATGCGTCGCTGAAGTGTTGCCACCTCCGTTGCTGGCACCATCGTCGACATTGTTGCCCGCATAGAATCTATCTGTGCCTCAAGTTCATCCCTTTCACGACGGAACGCCTGAATTTCCTCGCGGTGTACCTCTGCCGCTTTCCCCTTCTCTAACTGCAGTGTCAACTTCACAATTTGCTGCCGCATGGCCGCAATAAGTTTTTGAAAGTGGTGGTCCTCGTTGACTGTGGCAACGTTGATCACCTTCTTTGTCACCCCCGCAAACCGAAGTGTGTTAATTGTCTGTTGGTAACAGTACGCACTGGGCGCAATGGTGGCAAGCATGATCGTTTTGCTGTTTCCACCCAAACTATCGGATAGCAGCCAGGTGAGGACACTATCGCGGTATGCGGGAATGACATGTTTACCAGATTGTTTTTCCGACAGCTGCAGAATAACACGTCCGAGTGTGGTGAGAGACAAGTTGATGTTACGGGCCTCCTCGAAGCGGTCACCTGTGACACCAGACTGCGATACCCGTTCACTTCCCGCGAGGTCAACCATGTTGACTTTGCAGACCCGCGTCTTTGTCACCACCGCCGCCTCCTCTCTTACGACTGCCACGCGCGTGATGTGCAGTTGCAATATCGCATGGCTGCGACTACTGTATTCATTCATTCTCGTCTCCGCCGTCGCGCGTTCACGCAGACCGCTCATCAGTTGTTTCATGACACCCTCCGCATCCCGAACCTTCACAAGCGAGAGACCCTCCACGTACGGCCCACGTGACGGGTGCTGCCGGATCCGCAAAGACGATTGCGATGAAGCGGATGGCGACTGCAACGGGGCGGCACCGGCCCCTCCTGCTGCGGCTGCCGTGTCCCGCCCCCCGCCACCGCCATGGAACAGCAAGTCGTGGACCCGTTCACAGTAAATCTCTAAAAAACTACACTCCACATTATACGAGATGGACTCGTCCTCCTCACGTTCTTTTCGCATCAACTCAAAGAGGTCTTCACAGAGGCGCGGCATAATTCCGCGCTCTTCCGAACGCAGGGAGACATATTCAGGTGGCCCCAGCAGACTGTGTGTCTTGCCACTTCCCGTCTGTCCGTAGGCAAAGAGGCATGAGTTGTAACCTGTCATAACCGACTCATACATGCGCGGGCCAATGAAGGCATACACGGAGGCCTGGTCGTCGTAGGCTGGCACGTTGGCAAAACACGGTAAACCGCTAAATGGCACCCGCGACGTCGTGGCAGAAATTGGTTCATAAAGACTGCCGATATAACTGTTGGTTCTGCTGCACGCAGAGGGCGCACCAAACAAAGAAGCACTACGGGACACGTTAGTTGAAGTCGCGGTTTCTCCGATGGATGAACGCGGCGTGAAGGTTGGCAGTGCCACCGCGGAAGGAAAAAGCGGCAAAACATGCGGCGGCACACTCCAAAAGATCTTGTCGAATGCAAAGACATGCTGCTGGCCGGTATTGCTGCTACTGGCGCCCATCGTGGCATTGTTAACATCTGTCAGAGTGATGGTGTGATCGTTGAGGACCGTCACCGTACATTCAAGGGGCGACTCACGTGCATTCAGCGGCCGCACACGCACCGCCACGCACACCGCCGATGTCTCTGACGCCATTCCCAACTATTTTCCGTCCCCTCCTCCCTTCCTCCCTCCCCTTCCTTCCTTTACTGTTGCCTTAGCCCACTAAATGAGTGAGATAAATGGACGCAGAATAAAAAACAAACAAAACAACGACAACAACAACGCACAAACAGAAAAAGAAAGAAAGGACAAGAGGCAGCGTAGATATTCTTCCACTCAACTTGATGCGATCCACCCTGCTTTTTTTTTTTTTTTTTTTCCATGCGTCCGGTGTGCCTGTGCACCAATTCTCTCCCTCCCGCTATAATATATTTATGTACGTATGTATGTATCTGTGCATGTGTGCATGTGTGTGTAGATATCCCCCTTTCCTTCCTCCCTTTTGCCTCTTTTATTATAAAAATGTTATGACTGTTGTTTGTTTCCTTCTTCTTCTTCTTCTTCTCCTTCCTACTTCACGTCCCTCCCCACCTCCAGAAGCAGAGATACAGACATAAATAAATAAATAAAAAGAAAGAGAGAAGAAAATCCATCGTACATAACAAATCCCACACATGTGTACCCCGTGCGCATTGGAGTCCCCCTTCCCCCCCCCCCCTCCTCTTCTCCCAGCAGCAGCGGTGTCACCACAACACATACATGTGCGCATATACGCAGACTAAAAACAAAAATAAAAAACACAAAAATTGTCTTCTTCATAAATCATTTTGCGTAAATATTACAAACGCCTTCCCCTGTATAACCAGAGAGAAAGAGCAGAACATCTTTATAGACAAATATATACACATATAAAGTGAGTTTTTTTATTTTTTATTTATTTTTTTATTTTTTGTGTGTATGTGTATGTGGTGAATCGCGCTTTAAAACAGGCAAAAAGTAAAAAAAAAAAACAAAACAAAACAAAACAAAACAAAAAGAAAAAACAAAAACAGAGACACAAATTCCACCTACTTGCATTCTAAAAAACAACCGCAAAAAAAACAAACAAACACAAGTCCACACACACACAAAAAAAAGGATGAGACACACGTTTTAATACACGCATTTTACCAGCAGAAATAAATATTTATATTTATTTATTTATTCATGCATGTACTTAAATTGCATCCCATCGTATCAACAACAACAACAACCCGTTTCTTTCTTTTTTTTATTTTTAAATGTTTACTTGTCGCTTCCAATCATGCACGGCGGTTATTATTTTGCACGTGACATGACAGACGGTGTCCATCCACACCTCGCTGCTTCCTTGACGGCCTCGCTACGCACATAAACACAGAGAGAGGGAGAGGGAGAGCAATTCTCCAGAGACAAACCCCCTTCCCTTCCCTTCCCTTCCCCTCCCTCCCTCTCTGCGTCAAAAAAAAGAAAAAAAAGAAAATGTGTTTTTAATAATATAAATGATTTATTAATTTATTATTATTTTTTTTCCAAAGGAATTGACAATAAAAAAAAAAAAAAAAGGAAAAAAGGAAGCTTATCTTTTTGCGATTTGCCTCCTTTTGTTGCCATCGCCTCTCCGCATACCCCGCCTTTGCGTTTCTTTTTTCTTCTTTCTCTCCACCGTTGTGTATTCCCCCCCCCCCCTATACGACATTGGGATCCATCGCAGCACCGCCTTCGTCGTTTATTGAGGAATGCGCTTCCTTCTGTTCTGCTTGAATACTCCCTGGCCTGAGAAGCGTGGGCGCAACATGAAAGGCACGTT